TATATATAAATATATAAGTTGAACTATTAATATTCATCCTGTATATATACATATATAATACTCTTATCAACTTTCTTTTTGACACACACACACACACGCGCGCGCGCGCGCATACACATCTAATTCTATATGTATGCACACATGTGTACATATACATACATGGACGCGTACACATACACATCTAATTCTAGTGATGTCTAGATCATAAATGATGCATCTGTCTTTTTCAGATACCTTTGATGGCTTTGATACTTGGGTACTGGAAAGCAAAATAGTAAATCATATGACTGGTAATTTAGGGCGCAAGAGCAGGATCAGTATATTTGCCATAACTGGAAATGGAAATGGTGTGGCTGGATTTGCACTAACGAAAGCACCTGTACAGAAAGCAGCGATAAAAATGGCTAAGAATAAGGCGGGTCAAAGATTGATGTATATTTCTAGATGCAAGGAGCATACTGGTAAAAAATAATATGGTTATGTGAAACTTGTATTTCATTTATCCTTCCTTTCTAATGTCACGTTATGTGTGACTTTGTTTCAGTATTACATGATTTTGTTACACAATTTGGAACCACAAAGATATATGTAAAGAAAATGCATGAAGGATACGGACTTGTCTGCCATCGTGCGATAAAAGCATGTTGCGAAGCGATTGGTATAAAAGATATGTATGCCAAAATAGAAGGTTCTATAAATTTACAGCATATTATAAAAGCTTTCTTTATTGGTTTATTGCAACAGGTATGTATCTCACAGGGTATCAAATCTCTTGATTCAATGATGCCAGAGTTTGCAGATTATTGTAATTCATAGCTAGTACTAATGTTTCATGAATCTTGCCGCTCACTTTATCAGTAAGGAATGTGCTGATAATGAGCTGCTCTTTTGGAAAATCTCCTTTATGTAAATGCTGTTTATATAAAAGAATATATACTGAGAAGAGGGAGGAGGGAGGGGGGGGGGATAAAGTAAATGGGCGCTTCCTCTTAATATATCATCAAACGCATTTTCTCTTTAATTTGTTAGATAGATATATCAGAAGTTGTCAATCTCAAAGCGAGCAGATTATTTTTATATTTAAAAACTTTTTCATAATCTTTAAATTATGAATAATTAATGAATTTCAAATTTATTTAATCAGATGAAAATGTACAAACGTGTACATATGACACAACTTAGTCCTTACATATTGTTAATTTTAAATGGAGTTTATTGATTTTTCATTAATTATGTGTTACAAAATGCATGATGAGCGAAAAGCCATTTATCAAAAAAAGTCTGTTGTCATTGTATATCCTAAATTAATCCGACAATCAACAAGAAATTTTTTTTTTACAGAAATCGTATCAACAACTAGCGGACGAAAAACGATTGCACGTAGTTGAGTTTAAATCAGAAAACGGAAATTATCCAGAAGTAATCGCTTCGCCATCGAAAGTTAGAAAGTCAGAAGAAGTGAAGTCGCATGAGATTCTCGATTTTACTCAATATGTTTTGGGTGGCAAAGTAATATTGCAAAAAAAGAAATATCCTCCATTTTATACTAAACATCCATTGTACAAAACAAAATTGGTAAAATTGGAACGATTGAGGAACTTTGATGAAACGAGGATAAAATTAATGGCAGAATACGGAGCATTGCATAGTTTTCTGACTGAAAAGTATCCGGAGGCAAAGCTGCGTCCTAAGCCAAAGCGAAGCGAGAGCAATGAAACGGAAGAATAGAGAATGTATCTGATTGTTATGTTCTGTGTATGAATGCTTAAAATAAAGCCTTTATAAGATTATGTTCTTATATTGAAGTATGCACATTTAAATATTCAGATTTTTACTTCAACGGTGCATGCTTCGTTTATGAGTTTATGTGTGAAAGATTAAAAATAAATGTATGATAATTTTTAAATAAATTTTAAATGGCTGCAGGAAAAACAGCTTTACAATTGTTACCCCCGATACAATAGATTTTTAAGCCTTAAGCCATAAGGAATCACAATCAATTATTCTCCTCCCCATTATTTGATTGTAATTAGTCAATTTCTTAAGGCTTAAAACATCATTGTAGATCTGGACTTATTCGTTTGCAGTATTTCGTGGGAGAGTTCTGACAGCGCACAATTGGTTAATTAAAATAAAATATTCTCATTGGTAAAACAGTGAAAAGTTACTAGGTACTGGCCAATGTGAGCGAATTCAGGCTGGCGTCCCATGAGCAGAAATTTACAGCGAAACGGAACAGCGCGACTAATCACAATTCTGCTTTTTTTTTGCGATTGTGATTGGTCTAGTTCCGTTGTAAGTTTCCGCTTATTGGACGCCAGCCTGAATCGCTTTAGTACAGTTTCGTGCAATATGAACCTTAAGTCTGTTTTCTGTGGCTGAATTAGGCTGAACTAGGCTGTGATCAAAGTCTTGTTACAAATGCTTTAAAGTATTTGATGGACCAATTAGAAAAAAGAATTTTACAAACTAACCAATTAAAAAACACTTCAAAACGTTTGTAGCTTTGCGTTGACCGCACTCCTAGTGTACACTTTTGGAACTTAAAGTGAGATAGATATATGTTTGATATTTGTTTAAAGGGAGAAAGAGTGTTCTAGAAGAGTAGTCTAGTGCAGGAATAAAAATAGATCTTTTGAAGTAGTATGTTCATGCAGCATGCGGTTATGCGCATGTGGAAACATGTGTGACACTGATAGGTTAGGTAGCGATTTGTTTGATTGCACGTGGACAGTCTCTTCGCAAATTTGAAAAGTTGGAAATAGATCCAAGTGAGAGAACGAAAAGCAGGATAGAAGGAAGAGATGGGCAAGTTAGCGCCTCGTTTAGCAAGTAGAAAGAACGCGAAGCGATGGGCGAAAGGCCAGAGTTCGAGTTCCAACCCAGTTACCACGAAACATCGCGAGCAAGCAACTGGCATGTTTTTCAAAAATTTTTCCGGCACGCCAGGCATCACGAAGGAGGATCTATGGAAGCACGACGCTATCCAAGGTATTCAGCCACAATTCGCCAAGCTCGACATAGATGAGGATCAGCTCGAGGAAAGTTCCGTATACGAGACAGCTAATACATACGACACGTTCGCCACTAATTACAGCAATTGTTCCAACCTTTCATTCGACAAGTTCCTTAGTCATTTTCAATCGAGCTCAATTGTACACAAGGAGATGCTAGCAGTGCTGGCAGCCGTAACCGAGATTATCAAGCAGAACGGTGGCAACGAAAGCTCGACAGAATACTTTGCTGCATTAATGAGTACTTTGGAGGCAGTGGAGGATGACACCTCTGTAGCAGCTACGCTGTCTCTACTCGGAATGTGTCTGAGAACGGTACCCAAAAATGTATTAAATTTGCAGTTTGGCCCGACGAGTCAGGCTCTTCTTCGGATTCTACAACAATATGTCGATAGTGAGAACCATCTCATTCTGCGACATTGCATAGGCTGTCTTTCAGTGTTATTGAGAGCGCAGGAAATTGCAGTTTGGGTGAATTCCTCGACAATGCAAGTACTGGACGCTATGTTGTCATTTATCACTCACGTCAAGCCGAAGGTACGCAAGTCTGCCCAGCATGGGATATGTGCCATTTTGAAGGATAGCGACATAATGAAGAGTGAGAAGCCACCGACTCATCATCCAGCTGCAGAAAAAGTCGCGAAGCATTGTCTCAAGCAACTTAACGATTGCAAGCAAGGATCGTCGCTAGAGATAACCACTATACTGCATGTTCTTATATTGTTGAAGGATATAACGCATCAGCTACCAGAATCACGTGTAAAGACGATCTGTGAACGTCTGCTGGAGATCATGACTTTGAACAATGTATTGATAACGTCGTGCTGCTTACAAACCTTGCATGGGTTATTTGTCATGAGGCCGTCGGAAGCAACATTACCTTTCTCGCGAAATGCAAATATCATTAAAGCCCTTTATGACTATCAACCATCTATGAATGACACACAGCCAACTTTAGCGTGGTTGGCTGTCATGCAGGAGGCTCACTGCAATCTGGTGATGCACCTGACCTTATCAAGAGTCTCTTCCGACGTCTTTTCGACATTCTATTACGTTATACCGGAAATGTTCAACAGGTGCGTTGAGCTCTTGCTATCAAATAAGATAGAGATCATCAATGGTGCGTCACACACTGTCAAAATCATTCTGCAGGAGTGCGTAGCGCCTCTTTGCGAAAATGAGGAGCGAATAGGCAAGTACGAACCCATTGTGAGGCGCGTAGTCGAGATAATGCACAAGACTCTGAGCTATCAATATATCGGTGCCTGGCGTCATGTTCTTCATCTTATAGCCGTGCTCTTCCAAGTTATCGGCAAGCTGAAGCTCCAGGAACTCGGCAACATTGTCAAGACCCTGGGAAATTTGCGAGATTCCCACGATTTTGCACATAACCGTGACGCGGAGTACGCCATTGGAGCAGCGATCCGAGCTATGGGACCTCGAGTAGTGTTAGACATCCTCCCTCTTCGAATTGACGAAAATACGATCAATCTCAAACGGAGTTGGATGATTCCGCTATTGAAAGACTGCATAACTAGTGGTACCATTGCCTTTTTCAAGGATGTCCTATTGCCACTCGCTCTACGGTGTGAGGAGAAAGCTAAGGGATCTCTCGCAGATAGGAAGATGTATGAGTGCTTAGTAACGCAAATCTGGTCAATTTTGCCGAGTCTGTGCAATGACGCAAGTGACGTAAAGGATAACTTTAAATTTATTGCCAAGTTGTTAGGTGCAGCTATCAGCGACCGGAGAGACCTGAGACCATCTGCGATGGCGGCTTTGAGAAAACTGATCAGCAAAGCGACCGAACAGGACAACACTGATGATATCGCTGAACTCACTCGCTTTGCCAAGAATTATCTGCCGATTCTTTTCAATCTGTATACGACAAAACCAAACGGCACGGACGAGGAAGGAGCGCGTCTCGCTGCATTCGACACGATGAAGATTTACATGACGATCGTGAGCAGCGATTTAGCAAACGAGCTGTTCGATCGTGCGCAAAGCAAGCTCGAAGAGCCCGGTGCGGATGACTTCTTCAAAGAAAGCGTTTACGATCTGATGAGAGCGTTGATTGGCTATACGGATGTTGACAGATTGAGCAAGTACTATGATAGATGCGTGCCGGTCCTCAAGGATGATACCAAACGGAAAGAGCAGAAGAAAGCTTATCGTTTCCTTGAGGAGATATGCGGTAGCGAAAGAGAGGTTTGCAAACAGTTTCTGCACCAACAGCGACGTCAAATTCAAAACACACTGATATCGTCGGCAATTAGCGTGATAAAGACGAGCAGAGGAGCGCGTCTGCGATGTCTGGCGCATCTCGTCAGAATACATCCGCAGCTCGAGAAGACCAAGTTCCTCGAGGCCATCGTGCCGGAAGCTGTGCTCTGTGTTAAAGATATCAACGAGAGGTGTCGTGAGGCAGCATATCAGCTGCTCAATATAATTGCTGAAAGATTTCTCAATAATTCTGAATATCTCAAGGACTACGTGGATATGCTAATGGTAGGCTTGGGCGGTGAACAAACATACGTTAGCGCTAGTCTCCTTGCTCTCGCGTCCATCACTTATCATCATAATGGCTTTCTGGGTACGGACATCGTCAGTGAGATCTTGGCACATGCTTGCACAATTCTCACGAGTCCCACGAGAGAGATAGTCGAGTCCGCGTTGTCCTACGTGAAGGTATACATCAACGTGACACCATCTGTCGTGATGGCACCAACATTGTCACGGATAGTCAACGCCTTGTCGGGAATGAGCGAAGATTGTAAGCGTCACTTTCGACAAAAAGTACGAGACATCTTTACTAAAGTGATAAGGAAGTATGGCATAGGATCAATATCGAGTATGGTACCAACTTCGGACGTCATCCTGCACAAGAGACTGAAAAATATCAGTAAGATAGAGAATGCAAAGAAGAAAAAACGAGAACTCGAAAGAACAAAGAAGTTACAAGAACGGAATAGCGACGAGGAATTTGACGCCAAAAGGAGACCTAAAAGTGTACAGGAGATATTGGCTGACAGCGATGAGGAGTTTGAAATCATGGAAAACGAACTAGAAAAGAAGAGAAACAAAAAAAGAACGCCGAGAAAGGACACTTGGATTCAGGAGAGTGAAGATAATATAGTCGATCTTGCAGATCCCGCAGCTGCTAGAAACATTACAAGTTGGTCACTCAATTTTTTTTCTTTGAACTCGTTTTTCTTTGATTGAAAGAAGTCAAATTTTTAAAATTTTTAAAATTTTAATTTGTCGATTAAGAGTTGATTTTGAATTTCCATATACAATATATTGTCTCTATATCCTTTGTTTGGCAACACTAGAAAACAAAATTAGACAGACAAAACTAGAAAGAAATCAAGAATAAAACTTATTTAAAAACTCCTAATTAATGTTAATATCTTGCTGTAATCAATTTCGTCTTGTACGCTTTAGCTACACAACCAGGTGTACCGAATCCGAAGATTCCAATAAGGAAAATAAAGGATCGTGGCTTTGCGACTGCACCCGATGGTCGTCTCATTATTAGGGATGATAATGAGAGGGATAGCGATATAGAAGAAAGGAATAAGAAGAAGAGAAAGACTTCTTTCCTTCAGAGTGATTCAGAAGATGATTACGGTAAATGTTTTGTAATAATTATTTTGTTTAGACATAGAAAAAAGTTTATGTACTGAGAGATAATATTTCTATTTTCTCTAGTCGAGGATGACATTTCGGTAGTGACCGCAAAGACTGCTGGCAAAAAACGTAAATGTAGCGAGAGTGCGGTGGACGTGATGAGCTTGAAGAGTCAGTCAACGTCGAAATATCAAGGTAAATTTACAAATTTTTTCATTAAAGAAAAGTGTCTTTTTTTTTATTTTGTACAAGTAAAAATCTTTAAAGACAATTGTAAAAAATTTAAGACG